CAACTCCCACAGTAGTTAATAGAAAGGAAGAGTACTCAGCAGTTTCAGAATTAGTCCCTAAATGCTGTAAGTTATGCGCAAATTTTCGTATTAAGCAAGACAACATTTTGCAGAGCTCCCATTGTTCTTTCACTCTTCTTTTTCATTGTATTTCTTGATAAACATAGTATTTATTCTATGTCACATCCATTTATTACATTTATGTGACCTACTGCCATATCCTTTCAAATTACTTTTGTCTTACTTTTCCCCTTCTAAGCTTAAAACAGCCATTAATGTCTTTTATTGAGAATTAACTAGTGATGTATTTGAAGCTGCTGGTGATCACAGACAGTGACATTTGTCTGGCACTAGATACTTGTTTGCATGCCCTCCTGCCAAACACAGTGGAATTTTTGTTATCTCCCTGAGGTGTTTTGTAAGGAAAAGTGTTCCGAGCTTAGAGGACCAAGAGAAAGCAGATGAAAAAAGAAAGGAAAAGCCCTTTGGGCCAATATGTGAATTACCACCTCCTTTCACCAGATGAATCACCACTTCACTTCATGCACTCCTTCAGGCATTACTGGACAGCTTGGGAAGACTGAGAAGAGGGGGAAGATTGGTACCTGCACAGATCTGTGCTTCCACTTGGCATTTCACAAAGCAGTAGAAAAAGCAAAAGAAAAGGCAGACTAGCAAAGCCAAATCTTGTGCAGTGTTTGAATATCAAAAAAGTTGAAAGTCAAACATCCATCACTAATATGCACAAGGTCAGGCAAAAGCCTTGCTCAAACTGTGGGTCAATTAGTCCTTCTTTCCCCCCCGGGTCCAAGGTATTATCACCACAGAGGATAATGAGTTAAAGCCAAGTAAGGCCCTCTGAAACTCAGAGGTCATGGAACAAGAGTCAAATAAGTCTTTCAACACTGTTTTCTAGGTATTCTGTTAAATATCCCACTGGGAGACTTCTTTTCGTCAAACCTAACCACATTTCTTTGGACTCTCTTCTCCGAGTGATTTCAAATATATAAAGAATTTAGATGAAAAACAGATCTGTATTTTTTCATTGTTTAAAAAATGGTAGTAAATGCTCACTTCTCAGAAGAGTGATAGTGATTTTATTTATAGAAATTCCCAAAGTGACAGTTACAGAGATAATCTGTGGCAAACAAGTTGCAGAAGATTTTTTCCCTCAGTCAGATCATATTCTTGCTTTCCCATGCTGTATAATAATTTCCATGAAAAGAAGCTTTATGATGTAGCTCTTATCATTGTTTTCAATTGGTAAGAGCAAACAGTGAGGAAAAACTATAAAGTTGGGGAAAATAAGAGCCTCCAAATAGGATTGTTATAAAGAAGATGGTCTCACTGTTCACTGAGGTCATTGAGAGAAGAAACTAGACTAATTTGCAGCCAAGACAGATGTAAGTTGTGTATCTGTTGAGAAAACAGAAAAAAATACAGATAGTGAAAAAATGGGACTATGGAGCTACCTCAGGAGGTTATGGATTTTCCATCAGTGGGTGATTTTAGGAACAGAGGATAAATGAAGATGTGCAGGAATAGGCTGGGTACGTGGTTGACCCACTTGCCCACAGTGCCACAGGGATCCGGGAGGGACTGGGAAAGGTGGCTGTGAAGACAAATTTGTATGCACTATGTAGCAGCCTGTTTTAGGGAACTCTAAAGGGGCTGTATGTCCCCTGGAAAAGAGCATGGCAATAAGTTGTTTGATCTTCCATCAGGGCACAGTGTGGAGTAGATGACCCCGAAGCCCCTTCAGTTCTGACCCTACAGGTCTATAGTAGTCTATAGTACAGTTGCCCTATAAAGTAACTTATCAGAAATGTAGTATGTTTGGATACGTGTGCATTGGTAATCCACAGGAATTATTAAAAAAGAGCAAATATTTAGACCATTCCTAGGTAGTATTGTTAAACACTATTTAGCAATAGTATTTCAGAATGCAATCTTCAAGAACACTGGAAAATGGACAGTTTTTGAAAAAGATTTTAGTCACATTTTCTTGTCTATGGTAGTATGAAGAGTGTTTACATTAAATTAAACTTAGTTTCCAGAGCTTATGTTTAATCATGTATACTTAAGGATCATGAAACCTTTGTCGAAGTACAGCTTTTAAACACGCAATTTCAAAGCATAACAGATTGCTTAACAAACCTCACTAAATTCGTGGTCTAGCTCTAGCTGAAAGACGAGCAAAAGCACCACACACTTGAGTTGGGCATATATAAATAAACCCAATATTATGACAAATAGAAGTTGTCCTGATTCAGCAAAGCACTTAAACAGATACTCAAATTCTCTAGATATCACAGGGACATAAGTATTCAAGTATTTAAGTATTCAAGTATGCCTGCCATTTAGGAATCTTGAGACCATGCTTTAAACTCCAGTTTTAATTCCTAATGAGAGAGGTTTGAAATGACAAGGAGAGAGGGCATAAATCTGTGATCAAAAGAGACTGAACAGCAGAGGATCCCATCACTCTTTCCTGGTGATCAATTCATAACCTGCGTGTTAGTAATAATGCTGATACTTTAGCTGCTAAGAAGTTGAAGAAATTCAGAACTGGAACAGAATCGTAGGAGCCTTGGTTCTGCCTCTGGCCTCTACATGTCTGTCCTCCAGGGTTTCTCGTAACGTGCTTAGCTGGGGAAAGGATCAGCATTTTTTCTGCAGAGAAACTGAAGCTTTGCTCCAAACCATTACTGCCTCAAAACACAAATTGTATTGACATTTTCCTATTAATGTGTCTTTTCCTCCTACATAGGAGAACAAACCAGTATCATTATGGACTATGATGGTACACTTGGGCACAGTGCAGGAAAAGAAACATGCTCCTTTTGCTGGGGGCTGCAGCCTGCCTTTGATGACCTTGGGATGGCTAACATGGGACTGGAAAAGGTGATGGCAATGATACAAGACCAGCACAAATGGCATGGCTGTGCCTTTGGGCCAAATCAGCTTTTAGGGCTATAGTAAAGCCGTTCATCTCCTCACCACAGTGAAAACAAGCATGAATCTCAGATACGAAAAAGATAAGGGGAAACTGAAGAGGAAAAGCTAGAACAGTTGCCACAGATCAGAGATGAAGGAGGTCATGACCTGAAAGGGCACAAGAGAGAAACTTGAGTAAAACCAACTGTGGTGCAATAGGGTGGCACACAGAGGTTTGAAACGCAGCTCTGAAGAGGAGAACCAAGGAAAGTATTCAGAAAAGGCAGGGATGTGTGACATGAGTGAGACAAGCTTTTGAGTGCACCACTGTCAAATGTTGCCAGCCTGTTATTATAGCAAACGAATCCATGTGTTTGTCTCTTTTGTCCTCAGAAACAGTTGTGTGGATTTTCTTCAGCTTCAGCACATGGTGCCACACACATGCATGCCACACACGTCCTTTCTGAACTAAAAGGAAGTATGAACAATGTCATCAACAGTAACCCTTTTAAAAAGTTCTAAACCACTTAAATTAGGTTCTTAAATGAAAAAGTAGTCTCAAGAGTAGAATTGGTAGATTAAAAGTAATGTGGAGTACACTCACGCAGGATAAATAATTGAATAATTGCAAAGTTGGAAACATATCCAAAGAAGCCAGGAATTATTACAGAATTCTTTTTTTCTTTTGCTTACACAAACTTTATAATAGCTGTTTTCTCTGACTGTCCTTTTGCATAAACTGGGAGCAGCCTCTGGGCTGCTCTCAAATTTATTTTGGCTTCTGCAATAGCAATTAAGAATTACTGGAACTGTGCAGACTCTGGCCATGCCTTCAGTACTGTCAGAGGCTGGGGCACAAAGCCATCCCAATCCCTTGGGCAGCAGTGGGGCTGTTGCCTCCAACCACCTGCTCGGTCGCAGCCTGCTCGCAGCTGGGGGGCTGCACACTGGGAACTGGGAGGGACTGTTTGCACGAAGCTCTTGCTCCTATGGAGCAAGCAACTTCACCTTCGGCTATTACGCTGACATATGTTTTTTAGTTTGGTTTGGGTTTTTTTTTGTTTTTGGTTTTGTTTTTTTTTTTTAAATTATGTTATGTAAATTAAGATTTTCATAGAATTAAAAATAGTTCAGCAATGAGACATTTCATGTGAAAGGTCACTATTTTCTGTGCAACTTTTATTTCACATAGCAGGATCAGGATATAAACCGCTATGTATGGTATGATGCTTCCTGCCCAGTGACAGCACCCTGTATATGTAAGGGCACAGTGGCCTGCGGGTATGCTGAATATTACAGTCTCAACACCTTGAAATGATCATCTTCTCTGAATCTGGGCACTGTATTTACAAAAAAAGAAAATACAAATGCCCTGTGGTAAAGCGTGTTAGTGTTAAAGTGTTCCAACGCAAAGAGAGCAAAGGGGAAAATTCTCTCACCCAGATGTGGGTAGGTAAACATATTTTAAACTAAGTATATGTTTATATACAATGCATCCACTGTTTACACTGATTTTAAAATGCCATATGTAATGAAAATTATGCAAATATTTATAAAAATACCTTAGCCCGGGTAAGGTATATACCACACTTAATATTTCAATAAGGGCACATGCAGGGCTTGTATGGCAGTGCCAAAAGTAACATTTTGAAAAATGACCCTTCGGTAAAACTGTCAGGCACGGAGTGTTGAGTACCTGCCAACAGAAACCTTTGGGAGGATGTCACTGGGAGAAGTGAAACAATAGCGGGGTCTCTATTTGGATTAAGCAGGGAACTTGTAAAAAATTCAACATCAGCGCAGTATTTATGGGCTTCCTAGTCAGTAACCTGCTGGACTGCCAACAGCTATTTTGAGCCCTTTCCCGTTCTGGGCAAGGCAGTTTCACTCGTATAAAACAGATGGGCAGGTGCCCTTAAATCTTTCACTAGAGGGCTCTTGGACGTGGCGGGTCTCTCGGAGCCGGTGCTGGATGCTCGGCACCCCGCTCAGCACCAACGCTCCCCCGCTCCGCTCCGGCCCCGCCGCTGGGCGGGGGGAGACGCCCCTGCGCCTCCCCGGCTCTCGCAGTGTTTGCCGTTTACCTGCAAGTCGCAGACTGCGGAGTCGTGGAAGCCCAAGTGCTCCTTAACAACGCGTAAATAATGGAGGACAGGCAGGATGAATGAGCGTAGCGGGCGGAGACCGGGCTGAGCCTCACCCCGAAGGATCGGGGCGTCGAGGAGGTGAGGGGGAAGAGGGCTGAGGCGCAAAATCATCAGCTTTTAAGCACAACTCCGAGATGACTGTGCTCAGGGGACGGGGGCTGCCCACCCGACGGCTTCAGCAGGACGCTGCAAGGGTGTAGGGAAGGCATCCCGCCCCCACCTCGGCAATGAGCTCAAAAAAAAGAAAAAAAAAGGGGGGGGAAGGCAAAGCCCCTTTATTGTTATTGTGGTTGTTCCTGGCCTCCCTGCCCGCCTCCCAGGCGGCGCTCCGCGGTGCCAGGATTTCCCTGCAGCCCGCCCTCCCCGCCCGCAGCGCCGGCGGCAGCGCCGCCTCCCCGCGGCCCCGCTCGCCGCCCGCAGCCCCGCGCCCGCCCCCGGGACACGGGGCGCCACCGCCCGCGCACTGACAGGCGCACGCAGGTGCCGCGCTCGTCCCGAGTCGCGGAGGGGCGGCCCCGCTGCCCTGCTGGCTCCGCACCGGCAGGAGGGAGGTTGCCCGGGAGGGAGGAGCGGCGGGGGAGCCGCCGGCAGCGCCGTAAGTTGGGGAGCGGGGCGGGAGGGCCGCCGGGCCGGGCTGCGCCTCCGGACCCCGGCGCTGCCCCTCTTGCCCCGCGGAGCGGCGGCGGAGCCGCAGCGCCAGCTCAGGGGCTGGGAGAGAGGGGACGCATTTTGGGGTGGGTAGGAGAGTATCCATTAATAATCGTGTTTGCCTGCTCGTGGGGTTCATGCCCGAGATGTCGCGAAGACCGTCTCGGGGTGTTTCTACATCACTGAAATTCCGAGCTGAAATTCGCTCCTACAATTGGTTTGAACTTCATTCTCAGTGTATTTTGGCATACCTGATTTTATGTCCTTGCCTTGGAGGCAGAAGGCGTACCTAGCTTACATCCCCCTGAAACAGCCTGCGTTTTTTTTTGTGAGGGATGTCCCCTTTTTCCCCTGCCGCACCTTTCTGCCTGAATCTAAGAATAACCGGGCGCTTGAGTGCGCCGCCACTGCATGCCCGTCTGGGGCTTGGGCTGGACCAGGACCGGGACCTGGACCGAGGGCAGGCAGGACACTCGGAGCAAGTCAGTGGCCTGGATTGATGCTGATTGTGGAGCAAAGGGTTCAAATCGTGAACTCAAGAAGAACTTGCGTTGGGTTGCTGATGAAGAAATGCGGGCTGTCGATGAATAAGAAGGACTTGATTTATTTTCAGTTGAAATTTAAAAGAGACCAAAATAGAGGAAGCAATTAATTTAGGACTTGCGTCACTGTAGATTGTTGTTATGTTTTAAAAATAGGACGAGATTTTATTATGAAATGCATAATGTAACAAATATGATCCTGATCTCTTACTTTCCTTTGAAAAATAATTGGGGAAGGGAAACAAAGAATGTTCCCGCAAATGAAATTACTCACTCATAGACCATTATTTTCAGTTACAAATATGTTGAAAGGATGTAACATTGTTCAGCAAAATGTAGAGGAAAAAAATCAGAAGGTTTAAGGTATGAAAATCTAAAGCTGAAAAATTCCTTAGATACACACTACCAGAAATCTTATAATCCATGTACCATGGCTCAGATGTTTAGAGGAATGACAGAGATACCAAAAAAGGCATCATGATACTCAGTGCAATTCTAGGAGCTGAATTTTCTCCTTCCCTACAGAAAAGGAAAGTGCATTTCTGGAAGCAAGAAGTGACAGATGTGGCATCTCAGCAGCTGGCTAAACATAAAAGCATGTATCAGCAGGTGATTACTGTTGCAAGGATTTATTTTTAAAGTGAAAGGCTTGAGCCTATTTTAGCGTTAGCTTTAAGATCTACTTGAGCTCTATGGCATATTAAAAATAGCCTTTCAGCAGAAACATTAAGAAAAGTAAGAGAAAACTCATATGTTCAAGGCACTCCTTGCTTTGAACATTTGTTTTGTATTATAGCATACAGAGGAGAGGAACTGAGCAGGTTCTTCAGTGGTAGAATAGTACTGAAGGGAATGATTTTTCCTGGCCTCAGTGTAAGCCAACGGTATCTGGGAAGGAAACAATGGGGCCTATCTTCTCCTTAGATTAAAGATAATCACAGTTACTGTACTCTTGTGCATCCACAGAAGTAAAAATCTGGCTGCAGAAACTACCTCAGTGGTTCTGCTTCTCTTCTGTGATTGGTAAAGCCAGCCAGGATCACCAGGAGGTGGCCTGGGTGAATTTTAGGAAGGAAAGAGATGGATATCACCCTAAGAGGTAGCTCAGAGCCACTCTTTCCCTGAGGCAGTGTGGCTCTGCACCATCCCTATTTAAATGCTGTGGCTAAATGTCACATTGACTTCAAAGAGGCGTCTAAAACTGTTCCAAACCACTTATATCAGCTTTACAGTAACCAACAGAAGCCACTGTTCATGGCAAAACATGTTTTGCTCTCAGCTTTTCATAATTGGGTATGGTGCTTTGGTTTATAGTCTTCTAAGCTAGGTGGCTCCTTGTAGAAGAAATTCTGGTCCTCTGCCCAAGTCTTGAGAAATAGTTTGGGGCAGGAAAGGGAACTCACATTTAAAAACAAATTTCTCTTTGCCATGCAGAATTCGCCACCAAGTTCTTCACTTCTTGTCAGTGAGGCTGTGTCCCAGGGGCTCAGCAATGCTCTCTGACCAGTTCTTCCTCCCATTCCTCACCTTAGTTGGCAGAATTGCTGTGGATTGGGTCACCTGGTGCCTGTTTGGCCTTTGATAATGATGCAAAACATCAAAAACAGGCTTTCACCCTCCTGCATGCAGATGTTACTGTTTTGGTAACAAACAAGCAAGCAAAAGCATCATTTCTTTCCTCTTACAATGATCAAGCCAGAGTAAATGTATTTTCTCAAGATCTTCACCATTTTATGGAGAGCTGGTTACCTCTTCTTCCCCCAGTGGTAAAACTGAACCAGTTGGGTGGTCTGTACGTAATAGCCATGGTATCCCCATGGGTAGAGCACTTACAGGAATGGCAGTCGGCTGAAGGTATATCCTGTGTTTGTTAGTTTGTGTGATAGCAAGATGAATTTCCCTAATAAACTCAAGCCTGAACTTAAATGAGGATGTGGGAAGAATTGTGTTCAGACTGTTTTTAAATTATTTCCTCTCCCTAAAAAGCAGACCAGTTGCTAGCCAGGGAAAGCAGCTGGCTGGTGCTGAGGGAGGTGTCTGGGTAGAGCAGTGAGAGCAGATTTGAAGCATCACCTACAGAGTACTTTTGCAGGATGGCAGAATGAGTAAGTGTATGGCCAGTCTTCGCGAACGAAGATTTTGGGAAAGGTCTTTTACCTTTCAAGCCTGCGCAATGGATTTTTTAGGTGAGACACAGCCTGCGCTGAACTGAGCCCACCCTTTAATCCTAAGGTTCACCTGCCGGGGCCAAGCAAGCTTGGACAATGGCCTTGAGGTCCTCAGGACGTAGGTTGGCAGAATGAGTACAAGCTCAGGTAAACCTCGTGATGAAGAGACATACCTTTAGTACTGTGTTAAAATAAGAAAGATTTCTGGATGACATTCATGCAGATAAGCATTGCCTATAGTATTTTACAATGTTATGCATTTACCTCCTTAAGGGTATTGAGCAAAGATACTGATGCAGCTGGGAAGGTGACTCTAAACAGGAGCAGCTGGACCTGGCTGACAAGAAGACTAGCTTCCTCATAGTTCAAGGGTTAAATCAAGACCAGTAAAGCTTCGGAAAACACACTGCCAAGATATAATGAGATGATTACAAATGGATGGAGTTGGCCAGGGTGACGAGATATATTTATACCTTTACTTAGGTTTCATTGACATTTATGGAATAAATAGTCAAGTATAGAAACAAACGTTTGTCTTATGGTACTGCCACTAGTTAAGTCCACAAGAGCGCAGCTAGTAAGCAACTGAGATTTTTCTTTAGAGAGGCCAGGGAACTGCTGAATGTGTTTGATTCCTTTTTGTGTTGTGTTTTTGTTTTTTAAAGAGGGGAGATAAGCCATTTGCAGGCCATTTGCGGGCTAAACCTGCAGTCAAGTAGCACTCTTCAGTACCTGAAGATCTGAAAATGTGAAAGTGTTTTTTAAATACTCAAACTAAATTATATCTTCATGATCTTTGTAGCTTTTTATGCAGGACCATTTCGCTGAAATGTATATTTAGAACAAGTAATTTGAATTACTGTTATACTTACCTTTGAAATCATGAAAGTTGCGCAATACTCTTAAAACTTGATGACTAGTATCTCTTGAATGCCAGGGAGCCACATTAAGGGTTTCAACCCCCGCTGTGGGTGGTACAACAACATACAACTTAACTATGCAAATGTTGTGTTCATACTGTTTACTTACACCGAATAATAGAAGAAAGCTCACCAAGTCTGATACACTGCTTTGATTTCTATCATAAAGGTCAACGGGGAACAAGTCAGATAAGAACTTAAATGGACTGATACATTGAGTTACTGTGCTGGAGCTCATTTTGAATGAGCTAAGTGAACTTTTCTGTGGTTACCTGTAAACAGCGATTGACCTTCTGTAGAGATACAAGAGCTGATGACGAGCTGAAACTGGGTATGACTTGCTTAGTCAAGTCTGCAAGCTTGTTTAGATGCATTTAGATGGCAATTAATTTTTTTTAAGTCGTCTGTAGAGAACTTTCTAAAAATAAATATTACTTCATGTCTTTGCCTAAAAGATCTAAAATAGTATCTTTTTTTTCCTGTCCCTTTGAAATACCAGATGTTTCGAGTCCCTTTCTCACTGTTTTGCTGTGGGAATTTTATATGCATCTGAAGATTTGTGTTGTGCCTTAAACAAAGGAAACAGGTGTTGAGTCTTCATTCCACATGTGGGGTTTTTCCCATTAGAATATTAGACACTACTATAAAAAAATGTAAGTAAAAGCAAATTATTAGTCTGAAATTTCATTTTTTTCCACTTAACTTAAGTCCGTACAGTATAACATTTAAGTCAAGCAAACCGAAAACCCTAAAGCCTGTTATGCTGGAAAAAGCAAGTATCCATAAGTTGGAAAAAGCCT